TCTCTCTCTCTCTCTCTCTCTCTCTCTCTCTCTCTCTCTCTCTCTCTTTCCAAAAATAGCCGTGAGTCGTGATCAGCTCGTCCTTGAGAGAGAAAGAGAGAGAGAGAGAAAGAGAGGGAGGACTGTATTATTGCTTAGAATCAGAGGAGGGGTTATGGATTGATACAAATAGTCACCCCCGCCAAGCCAACCCCAGCGCAGGCTGAATTAATGTGTTGCTATTTTTGGGAGCCCCGTGTTTCCAGGGGAGACCTAATGACGCAATGACGTCAATGCGGGTCAATCGCAGACTGGAGGAATTGAGTGGCTTCCATTTGGGGCTTTTGCAGTATTTCCTACAGAAAGGATGGAAACGAGTACAAAATGGAAGTGTATTTCCTCCAAAATGCATCGAAAATAGAGGTGAATCAAAATGCAGAAGTGAAAATGATCACAGTGGCACCACGTCGCCCCAACCCTTCGAGCATCAGCGATAGTAAGGGAGGTGTGTATATAAGGATGCTTTTTTTTCTCCTCCTCGTCCACAGCGCATCTGTGCGATGATACCTGCCAGTGACTAGCCTTATGGAATTACATTTTCGAGAACATTTTTGTGGTGTTGATTTGGTTTGATGTAGTACACAGCCCCGGCTGTTTGTTCTTCGTATGATCTTTGTGTGTATTCTATGTATTGTAATGTTTCCCTGCGTAACGCTGTGTGCTGTCTATCTCTCTGCCATTATACCTACATGTGATTATACTCTGTGTTATTTGCATTTTCTGACTCTTTCTTTCTCCCAAGGGCTTTACACAATCCCGACCTATTCCAAGCGCTTGCATCTAGACGCACAGAGGTAACGAGCACCTTCTCCCTCATCTCATGAATTAATACAGCTGTTGACCAGTTATTCTTGGATTGTACATGATGTTGTTCGTGTGCCGGCCTTTGTCTTTAAATTGCTGAGTAGAATTTGCATTGTAGTAAGAGGGATGTCAGTTTAGTGTAGCTCAAGATTGTGCGCGTTATGGTTGCTCGCAGCTCGGCGACCTGCCGAAGCGCACAGACAAACGCTGGTGATGCGTGGAAATTTGGTCTTTTCCAAAACTTTGTATTCGCCTGTGGATAATCTCCCCACAGTCGAAGTTCAGAGTGTTTGTCAAGTGTTCTTGCTGCCATATCTGTGTGTTTATGTCCCACTGATTGCGATCACACGCATCATTAGAGGAGGGGTATTTTTTCAGTGGGTTGTAAGTAGGCTTGCGGCCAGGTGACGTGAGTAAAGGCAGGATGAAATGACAGTTCAACCTATTTTCTACAAGAAAAGAACAAAACAAGAGGGATGCATGTTGCATGTAGCAAGACGATCCTGCTTAAACACGCACACACTTTGTCGGACACATTCAGACAGACATACGCACAAACAGACATACACACACTTGCACACATGCACAATGTCGTGAGAGGAGGGGTGTGTGTGTGTGTGTGTGTGTGTGTGTGTGTGTGTGTGTGTGTGTGTGTGTGTTGGGGGGTTTGGGCGTTTACCGGCGGGGCTGGTGTGAGTCTTTCAGAACCATGGACAGCTCACATGAAGATCATCCAGTGTGGTCTACTCTCTTTTGTCCGCACTGACAGGAGCATCTTTGTTTTTTGGCAAAAGCACTTCATTAAACAGCCCATCTCTGTCAGTCATTTTTACTGGAACACTAATACAGATATTTCACTTCATGACCAATGATAAGGCCCCAGACATGATATGTTTTACCTTTTCCTGCAGCCATCTCAGTTTTACAATATGGCACCTGTGTGAAATAGTAAATAGCGGTCCACTATTTGGGTAATAGGTGTATTGAAAACAGAACATTTGTATAATATTCAGTTGGTTAAAAAATATCTGAAGATTTGTGTTGATGCACCATCTCACTTTACACAAACCTTTGGCTCCACATTTAACATCTGAGCACCCGAAAACCACATTTTGCCTCTCTGGCTTTGTTCCGAATCATAATTTGAAACAGCATTTCACATAAAATGTACTCACACTCTCAACATTTTGACTTTTTTTCTCTTCTTTTCTAATTCCCAAACAATATGTCGTTCTCTTTTTTTTCAATTGGAAAGTCACAAAGTGCTCCAGCATGCTCTTGGACATTTCAGTGTTATTCACAGTGCTCCAGTTTTACTGAATTCCCATTGTTCACAAACAAGCAAAATATCTCAAATGCTTTGTCAGTTTATATTGTGCCAATTGACATTACACCCCATTGGGGTGTCTGATGTGTAAGGTGTGATGAAAGTAAAACACAAAGCGGAATTTAGGAAGCTGGCTAGAAACCAATATTTCAAACATTTTGGAACTATAATTCCTTGCATTTAGTTAAAGGGATTTGTGGTTTGTTTTATTGATATGCTCGGTGATGATACATGTACATGTGTATTGGGTTGGGTGTACGGCAGCTCACAATATTTTGATTCACTTCTGCCATTCGCAGTTTGTTGTATTTTGAATCAATCTGTGATAATCAATACTGATAATGCTCCTACAATGATCAGTGACTGACTGTATTCATGTTAGGATATGATCAGATATAATCAATGGAAAATACGGCATTATTAGTAATTGTTTATTTCAAATGTGGAATTTTATAGTTTGTCTAATCCATCAGTTTTAATATATTAACAACTTTTCAAACAAAAGCCATTTTGACTTAAAAAGGAAGAGGCAGCACAACAAACATTAACTGTATAAACAGTGGGATGTTGAATGCAGAAGCTGGTGTTGACCTGTTAACAATAACCTTTTTCTTTTAAAAAAAAAGAGAGATTCATTGATTATTCATGAATACAAATGGACTTGAAATATCATAATGTATTACCTATTTTACACTTATGTTATTGTGTCCTATGTCCCATAGTAAAATATTCAGCCAATGGTACAGGTGTTTATGGGACTGAGACCTACTGGAATAGGTCACACTGAACATGTGTTCACATGTTTGTAAATGTCAATTTTTCCAGCTTTAATGGAATTCTTTTTCATATTTTTGTTTTAGTGAATGTTCACCCATACACACTAAACTAGCCAAGGTCGTAGATAGTAAAAATCAAGTGCTGAACATTATCGCTATTCTTCTTCAAAGCTTGACGTTTGGATCAGATTTTCACTCTATCCGAGGTGTTTTAGTCCAACAGGAGGCATAGAAAAAAATGTGAAATCCAAAAGGGAATTGATATATACATGACTCCTTTTATTTCGAAAATGCGTTCAGTCTCATAGATCTGTAACTGTGTGTTTCAGATGCTGGACCAACTGCGTATGATCATCGGCCATGATATCAGCTGAGAAGTCTTGCTTTTTTCAGGTCTTTTTGCGGTCTGGGCTTGCTGTCACATGACTATCCAGGAAGCCCTTACCCCAAAAAGCATCTGCAAGGGGCCCTAACATCAAGGAAGATTTGCATATAATTGCGTTTTGACACCCAGAGCTCAATTTATATATTGTGAAGGCTTAATTTATCAATTGTTACTTCAGTTAAGTGTGACTATACACATTTGTGAAATAGCGTATTTGACTTTCCTTTTCCTTTTGTGGTTTAAACTGTGAAAATTAAAGTAATCATACCTCTCGTAGACTGGTTTGAAGAGATGTAAATCATTCCCTGATTTAGTTGGTTTCACTTAAAACCAGCAGGTTTCTGTTACTGGGTATAAGAACTGGGACCCATTAGTCCAATTCTAAATGTGTCCGAAGCAACACATAATTCCTCCAGAGGGTGGCAGTGTGGCTCTGAGAAGCTTCTGTCTCTTAGCTACTTCTTTAGCAGCTCTCACAGCATTGCATTGCTGAAGGGAGTGAATAATGAGCTCACCTCTCGACTCAATAAATCATTTCTGCAGAAATTTGCCATTTCTTGTGTATTACTCATTTCCACAGCAACATTGCGGGTCCATTTCTGCAAAGCAGTGATGCGGATTTGCTTCCAGTGAAACGGATTTGCTTCCAGTGAAATGGATTTGCTTCCAGTGAAACGGATTTGCTTCCAGTGAAACACACGCAATCACTTTATTAAACCATTCCTTATCCATTGACTCCAGAACTGTCCCACGATGCTTTGAGAAAGAAAGCTTTCTGCCAGCTTTCTGTCTTCTGGTGTGAAATAACTTCTGGCATTGTTTGATCCATTACCTGTGTCTCAAACAACAAAAGCAAAAAAAAAATCAATTTCTCATTTCTCATTTTGAGAAAAACATCTGGTTTCAATATCCTAATGACAGTGGACTTTTTTTTTTTTCTTCAACCTGCTTCCGTCAGTGCAGTCAGATGTTTTTTCTGAGCTAATGTGAAACTGTTTAAGTCCCCTCCGCTCCAAAATGCATTGTTACTTCTACTGCTGCTTATTGTTACCTCGCTTGGATGCTTGACCCTCACAGTGCACAATGATGCATGTGCAGCGTTCGACACTTCAAGATGTTTTTTTATTTGCTGAAGGGGGGGGAAAGTTTATCTGCTCACCTTAAATATCAGTTTAAGCCAGATCCCTCGTCCATGGGCTTGATTCTCAGTCAGGACTCATTTGAAGGAGTTCATCCATTGAGTTTTGGAAAGAAAAAAACAAAAGTGCTGGCATTTTACCTCACAATCAACAACAACGCACAATATGCAACTTATTTTACTTTGCAGAGAGCAATTTTTTCAGTACTTTGTCAAGATTTAGCAATGGGACAACCACTGGGATCAGCGTTATCCGCCTGCCTGGTGGTCAGATTTGGAAAGAGATTGAGTTTGAGTATGACACTACAGGAAGCTTGAATGCCATGGGGGGTTTTGTGGAAAATTTCAGCATCATTATTTTCTTTTACAGATTACAGATCTTTTACAAAAGATATTTTAAAGCATTGCGTCCTATGATTTGGCTTCATCCATCAAACACCTGGTCACAGTTAAGAAACAATCCAGATTTGATGTAATGGAAGGATGAATCAGTTCAAGTACCAGTGATGCTATGATGAGCCATATGAGACGAATTCTGGGAGTGACAAACTTGTACAGAACTACGTATCTTGACGGAGATTGCTGCCAGTTTTAATTGGAAACAAGATTAGGAACCCAGCAGATAATGATGTGTGGCAACTTGTCTTACAGCATCGACAGATGGTGGGGTTCATTCGTGCACCTGCCATTACTTTTAGATAGATTGCCTACGTAAAGTTAATGATGAAGGACTACTTGTAATTCCTAATCATCCTCTGAGGCCAAAGCACTGTTACATCACTCACTACAGCTAACAGTCCAGTTATGGAGACTCATTTGTCTGTGGACACTCACATTTTATATTGACGGATGGAAGTATTCCCTCTCGTACTTTCTTGTGTTTTTTTATTTTTACTGCGCAGTACAAGCTTTTCAGACATCACACATTCAAAGTGTTGCAAAGGATTTGCATAATCTCTTATATGAATATACATTATCTCCACTGACGATTTCTTTGCTTGGTATTGTGTAATGATAAATAAAATTAAAATCTAAAGGAAGCAATGTCTTATTTCCGGTAAGTCTCTTTCAGGCGCTTGGCTAAAACTTCTACATTGCAGGGATCTGACTGGCTGGAACAGAACAGGGATTACTGTAAAGGTGCTACAAATGTATTATTCAACGTCAACAGAAATGGTGGGAAAGGGCATCAACCACATAAACCCTAAAATATCTTGGCCCTTGCATAACATGTCACTAGTTATAGTCTTCACAAGTTCACTCAAGTGTTTTAACACTTTTACTCGTTTGATCCTTTGTGATAGGGTGCTTTTTATTTATTTTTTGCATTTGCAACATATACTGTAACTGTAACATAACCTAACATGTTATTTTGTTAAAGGTATTGCTTGCTGTGACTGGACTTAGGGTTTGGACTCATTCTAAAGCACTGCCTCAATGAAAAGCTGATTCAGGTGTTTTCAGACCAGCTTTATGGTGTTAACGGCACCCAAGTGCCTGTAATGAAATCAACACATATTCCTGAACGGCAGCACATGCAGGATCAATGAATCTCAATTCCAATCATTCCTGTGACTCATGCAGGCAGATTCTGCCGAGTGGAATTCCTGGTTTCCATGCTGCTTCTGGAAAAGTAATCTGATACTGTGCAAGGCCTATGACCATGGCTCAGCTACATATGGGGCAGGTCAGCAGGTTTAACATTTTGGTCTGCATATTATCCCACGTCATTCACTGTTAAAGTAATTACCTCCATTCTGCTGACCCTAAAGGGTTTTAATGGACACTGCACATGCAGTTTTACTGTGTGGGCAAGAGTGTATAGTTAGATAAAAGAGGGGCACACACTTCTTCTGAGGGTATGACTCATAAGCTCCCATAAGTCATGTGACACAAAGTCCTCATGAATTATTAATAAAGACTTGCAGCATCCTTCTGTCATTCTCCTGGAGGTGACTTCATGTCCTGCAGGGATGCAAGGGAAATCCAAACATAACACTCTGGACCCACAAAGCTGTTTGCTGCAGTTGTGGTTTCTAATGTAGCCACAAAAGGACAAATGTGTATCTTTGGTGTTTGGAACTAATTTGAGTATGCTGAGAACCGTGGCCTAAATGAACAGATTCATAAAATAACACTCTGGCAAAGAGGAAATGCCTTTGACTCACCCCTTTTAGGAGTCTTCTTTTGCTGAATCAACTGATTAAAAAAAGGTATAAACATTTTTGATTAACCCTTTGAGGTAAAATCGGTACCACCACAGATATGACGGCCCTGTTTGTTCACAGATAAGCAATCAATGAGGGGTGGAATGAATAAATGATGTCATAACTGAGTCAAGACTACATGATGTTAAAACATGTCCTGTTTACTGATCCGTTAAATATTGGAAGGCTAAATCTTGGTTTAAAAATAGTTTTAGCAACAGGCAGCTTTTATTCATCACAGATGTCAGGATTTTTCCATGCGATGAAATCTGCTCTGTTGCAAGAGAGCCCCTTAAACCCTCAGTGGACAGCGCTGTAAAAACTTTAAAAGATATTTTGAAACTATTTATCCAATTGCATTTCTTCATTCCTTAATGTTTTTTCTTTATGAATAATACACTATTCCTGTTAAAAGTACAAGTGGGATACTGTCACCCATTTACTTCCCAGAAACATATTATTTCGTGTGTTTTTTTCCAGACAGCGTTCACATCATATCTCAGATCTGTTTTTTCTGCTGAAAGTGTGACGATGACCATGTGTTAATAGTCTTATGAGACCTCTGTGTGTGAGAGTGAGTCTGTGCCCTGCATGAGGCATTTAACAGTTCACAGGACTTACTGTAAGTTACCTTGAGAGAAAACTAAAATGACCATAATGGTTTGGGTCCCTGTGGACACACGCGAGTATTGGCCTCTCTGACGTCTTTTGCTTTGAAGAAACAGAGAGTTGCTGATCAGTCATTCCTCCTCCTCCATGGAGTAACAACTAACATCTGCTTCCCAAAAATATCCACTCTGTTGGAAAAACACATAGATTTAAAAAAAACTTTTCCAAGAAGAGCATTCAATTTGAGAAAAAGATTAAAATAAATCCGCTGGTAGAGAAAGATGTGCTTGAAATTTGACGGAGACATAAAGACAGGAGGCTCACATTAGAACTATCTGGGATCTTGATATGACATAAAAATGCTATTGTTGTTCATTGTGAATAACATTTTGATGTGTGGTTAGGTATTGTTGTCAAAAATAATACATAAATAATAAAATGTATTACCAGGTATTCATCACAAGCATTTCATGGACATGTATCACGAACAAAGTACTGTACAATAAGAAGTTACTATTTTGCTTTGCTGAAGACTTTTGGAGGAAATATAACTGCTGTTTGGACAAAGTTCAGAACATAACACTCCTAATCTGCTAAACTGAGCTGGAAAAGATCATGCATGATGATCAACTTTTGAAATATACAGATGCTCAGACAAACATCAACTTACGTTTATGTGTGTAACTAAGACAGCGTTAGACTGCATGAACTTTGTTTTGTGTGGTGTAAAGAATAAAGATATGAAGACATGAAAGAAATGCGTATATTTTAGATTCAAAGACCTGATCGGGCAGGCAATCTCCATCCATGAGATGCAGCTCATTAATATATTCCAAGAATTAACAGATGAGTTGTGTCAATATAATTCATATCACTGCTGTTGTTTTATTATTGTTTCGGTTCTTTATCTTCTGCTTCTGTATGCTACGTGCAACTCGGCATTCATAGCGTTAGAACATCCTAAATAAATAGTGACATAACTGGCGGCATTGGGCAATGTTTAGAGCGAGCAGTGGATAGATAAGAGGGTGTGAGCACAGGTTGTAACATATATGGCATGTCAAACTCCCAAAGTCACAGAATTACAAACATTGTCATTTCTATTTGTAAACATTGCGGTATCACTATTCAGAATTTTGATGACTAGTGTTGTCAATGTATTGCCCAGTGACTCAAATATGTCACAAAACTGTACTTTCATATTCAAACTTGCCAGCAGTCGCCTGTATGGGATGGGGAAAGGTTACAGTGAGTGGGTGGATGAGGGGGAGAACGGGGGTCAGAGAGACGTGAGTAAGAGATGAGTCAACAGCCGTCCTCTATAAGATGTCCTGATGGAGCCCAACAGTGGCACAGCACAGACTTCCAGCCAAGGTAAGGTCAACTCAGGCTTCAACTCTTCCATCTTCGTTTCACTGTCACGTTTGGTCTTTCATTACTTACCAGACGTAACTTACCAGCATCTGTTTGTTTGACAGCTTTTAGAAGTACAGTATGTTTGAATTTTAGATACATTTGTAAAAGATGCATATTTCTATAAGAGGGACAGTTGTCACCGTTGTTTTTAGAGAAATTCTTGTTGCTTATAGATTAGGTCTCGTAGCTGAAGGTTTTAATGAGCTCATAGCCCCCCCCGTCTACTCTTCTCAGAACATGTAGCGGAGGTTTAGAAATCAGGGGGTTGACAATAATAGTTATAGCCAAGAGCAGTGATCTTTGTACTTGTTACACAGTCAGGAATTCACAGGTTTCTATCACAAATATTTGCTGTCATAATCAAACATATTGAGTAATTATTGGAAGGAAGCATTTGTGTGTGTATAGTATGATTACATACAGATAGGCCTGCTGTCTTAGCGAGCTAACACAATGTTGAAACAAGTGAGAAATAAATACACATTAAAGAGAATAACATTTTTCTCCTAGGAATACCGGTGCTATCCTCAACTTGGTACATCCAGAGAAAAAAGATGGACTACACTTTGGCCCTCCTGTTTTCTCTGCTGCACGTTTTAAGTGTGTGCTCGGCTGCTCCTCTGCCAGTGGAAGTAGTGACGATGAAATTAAAAGTGAAATGGATGGCCGAACAGCTGGTGGTGAGGCTGAACAAAGACTTCCAGGTAATATATATGGTTCTGTTTGTGGGGAACGCAAATCTGAAGTGTTTACAAAAGTTTGTGTATTTTTTGGACTGAATCGTGATCTCTCTCTCTCTCTCATGCTGCAGGCCCCCGCTGGTCTCACTCTCAGTCCGCCTGCTGATGATTTGGAAGGACCTTCCTCCGTCGTGGTGGCCTTGGAGGGCTACAACAGCCTGATCTGCGACACCCTGAACGGGGTCGCTCAGGTCAAGTTTGACATCTCTTCGCTCACCGGTTACCTGGATCAGTGGAGGCAGGGGCACTGCAGTGAGCAGCGGCCAAAGCCCTCAGTGCCGGGGCCGCTGCAAAGGCTACAGAGTCGAAAGGAGTTTATTCACACGGTGAGCATCGAGGCGCTCATGAGAGTGAAGGAGTACCTCAGTCTGCTGCTGAACAATCTGGATCATCTTGAGACTTGCTGACAGACGGACAGTAGGACCAATATCTGTAAATTGTAGTTTTGGACACTATTTGTCAGGTCTGCATCAGGGATGTCTGACTTCCCACCTGGCCATGTTGAACATTTGCAATGTCTTTTGAAGGAAACGTATTCTTGAACATGCACTTATTTATATAAATTTGTATTTATTTAAATCGTATATTCAGAAAACATTTTGTAACATTTTGTAATATTTGCAGCTTGTGTAGTTTCTGCAGGATTGATATATATGACCACTGATCTATGAATGGCACACAAAGCGTTTGTATAATGACACTAGCGGTGCTCTCAGTAGTAAACATGGAGCTGTATAGTGCAGCCAAAGGAAACATCACAATTAGTGATTTAATCCCTGAAAACTAGGCTGAAACTTGCCAACAATAACAGCTGTGTTTGCATGAGAACTACAAGGACAGGAAGGGCAAAGGCTCCATTTCTGTGCAATACCATCCACTCCTCCGAAAATGGTTATTTATATTTGTAGATGACTTTTTGATATCTTGTCTTTTTTCTATTGGATTAAAACTTAATAAATCTTTAACAAACTTATTGTGATATGCAAGTTTGTCAGTGTTGTGTAATAAGTGAATAAAAGAGATCAGAATGAAGTGAATTGGCACACCGACCAGGTTCAAATTCAATGTCATTAGTGGGTGTTCATCTCTTGCTACACTTGTATTCAAGGTTCATGAGTGGGAAGTGTTTATCAGGAACTATCGGCTTATGATTATCTCCTTTTTAAGACCAGCATCAAAAACTGAATGTAACTACTTCTGTGAATCAAATAAATATAGATTACATTTTTTTTTTTTACAGACAATATAACACAAATTTGTGTCTTTTTAATATAATTTCATAAAAAGCCAAGTACAAGAATTATTCGGTTTGTTTTAGTCGTAAAAAACATGGATGAGCATGGATTACAGAAAAGCAGGAGGAGGATGAAGGACGTTAGGGAACCGTACAGTTTCACACATGAAGCTTCATATACTGTACAATTAGCCACAAAATGACTTTGTGAGAACCACTGTACTTATTTTAAAACCTCAGGATGCCAATTGTAGAGGAGTTCTGTCGTGGTAGCCTTAAACACTAAAGATCCAAACACATTGTCTCTCTCTCTCTTAAACAAACAAACAAACAAACAAACAAACAAACAAACAAACAAACAAACACTGCATTAACTATCAAACCACTTGTTTCTTCTGACATTGGTGCTGTTGTCACTGTTGCCCATCAGTTTCTTCTTGTACTGCTCCACCAGGCTGTCAAAACGGTCCCCGCCCCCTCTCTTGAAATTCTTCTTTGTGGGTTTAACCTTCAGGAGCAACAAACAACAACATAGTCATGAGGCGTTAATGGAACAACTCTGATAAAGTGTCACCAAACTTGCATGCTATTGCTTCAAAACCTGAAAGAAAATAGTGCTGCTGGCCGAGAACAGTGTCCAAAGTAAGATGTGTGATCGCAATTATGCAAAGATCAACTTTAAAAAGCAAAAACAATACCAGAAAAAAAACTCTACTCCTATAGAGCACTTCTTTTATTTTCTGGTGCTTTTTCGCCCCAAACTTTTCGGTGTTTGCTTGTTAGCTTCTGGCTTCTGGTGGAAGCTAGTTAAGCTAACAGTCTGCACAGATAAAAGCCTGGTTCATCAAAACAATAAACATCTTCTACTTGCTGAAGTGCAAGATCCTGAAAAATATGACGTACTAAAACAGTGTTACCCAAACTGTTTTCTGGGAGTCCACTTTTGAAAAATGTCGAACCATTGCGATCCAATTCCCCAATCGGCCTCGTCTATAAATCCTGAGAAGAGCCGATCTGTGCCTGAATAAGCGTTCCTGACCATTTTTACTGCCATTTCCCATCACCTTCTATTACTATAAACATGTCAACAATCCATTTCAAAGAGATGTACGTTTGATCAATCACAACTTGGTTTCATGCACGGATTATTGTAACACATACATGTTAAATGCTTTTTAAACGAGACCAAATAAATGCATTCAGGCAGAATGTATCGGTCCTCGTTATGTTCCTCTCATCGGTAAGGCTGAAAGAATTTACACGAGCCACAGTCTACGGATGAGTGTTAAAAGGATGGCAGAAAATCTGAAAATGTATTTGGCGACTCTAATAAAATGTCCTCGGATCCACCTATGGGTCCGACACAGTCTTTGGGAATGACTGTTGTAAAATAATATTACGACAATTTCACTTGGCAGCAAAGCATTCAACTTCATAAAGACTAAACTATTGGAAAACACCATTTATTTTTCTTTGAGATAAAGTGATGCATGTTTTTAAATCCTAACATCGTTACAGCTTTCTTTCCTTTAAGGATCGTCTTGATTTGGTTTTGGCAAGGTGCTGAACTGTATCTTGAGGAGTTATAACATGAGAAGTGACAAAGACATTGTTTTCAGTACTTCCTGATAAACCAGTGCGTCAGCAGCTTTTCTTCACTGTAAGATGTGAATATGACCAAAGACTGCAAATAAGCATATAAAACATATTTATGAACCTGGTTGGCGCGTTGTGTGGGCTTTTCCATCTGTTGTCGTTGACGGTCCTTCCTGTTGGATCCAGGCTTTGCTTTTTTGGGAGGCGGAGCCTGTTGCTTTCCCTTGTCACGCATTCTGTTAAGGACATGATATGATATTTTTACATCACTTTTTTTTTTTTTTTTTTTTAGATAGAAAATGATTACATCCGTTTTTTGCACTTCATTTTGTGATTGCTCCAATATTATCAATATGTTTTACTTTTACACATATCCTCAAAATGTACGTGTTGTGAATTTCTGCTGTCTTAATTTAGCTGCTTAAGCACTGAGTGACACATGGTGCTTTGTAAGCAGGAGAATAGTAAAGGTAAAAAGAAGTGTACCTGATCTTAGGCCCCCGATGGGAGGGAAAGTTTAGAGTCTTCCTTCGTTTCTGTCCGTTCTGCAGATCTACGTGCTCGACCTCGGGGTTGGTCTGGAAGCCTAAATGGCCTCCGGGTTGCTTCTCGGTTTGAACAGGAGCTGATGACGAGAAAATCAAATTAATGTGAAGAAGAAAAGAGATGGAAATGTTAGGAGCAAAAGTAAAAAGGCCACAGCTGAGTTTAACTCGGTGTGTCAAGCGTAATATGGTTTCTCCACCGTAATATGGTTCTCACTCCATCTGTGCTGTATCTGTGCTGTGGCAAACCAGAGCTCATCTGCATTAAACCTATGTTCTCTATACTGGAAAAAGGCAAAAAAAATGGAAAAACTGAAATAATATTTTCATACCTCTCTCGTTTCCACCTTTCCTCGGCCCTTTTCCATCTCCGGCTGTCTGCGGTTGAGGCTTTGGTCCTCTTTTAAAAGTCAGATGTTGTTCCTGCAAAGATATCCACAGAGGGTTAATTTACATTTAGAAGAAGAAATAATCTGTCAGTTTGAACAAAGACACTAAAGTGTGACTATCACACAAGTTGGTACAAACGCACCTTGTTTTTTTGATGACGCATTTCTTTTATTTTGAGTTTCCTTGAATCCTCCAGGGAGAACTCAACAATAGGTCTCTGCAGGATGAAATAACAAAATAATCACCACAATGTGACGTCTAAAAGGGTAAATACTAGTGCTGGGCAAGTTAACACGTTAATTTCGTGTTAACGCATTCATTAATTAACGCCGACAATTATTTTATCGCGCGTTAACACATTTTTAAAATTTATTATAATTTTTTTTATTGAAAGACAAGAGACAATACATAGACATAACAACAAGAGGATGACAAGAACAGTGGAATAAAAGCCAGCAAACATCCTATAGTCAGTAATTTTAGTGCACCTATATGCTGAAATTCACGGTAAACGCATTTAAACGGCACAGATCGGGAGCGAGCGAAGGACTTTGAAAGTTAGCGGAAAGATTAACGTGAGACAACATCCGGTTTCTTCAGATGAACATCCGGTTTTCAGAATAAGATGCCAACAAAGTATGAATTATATTCACATTAAGTATAAAACATGCTACCTGCATCTCGTGAACCAAATGTTATTGCCCTTTTGTTCATATAGCAGTACTTTTAAAATAAAAGTGCGCAATACACTACTTTTGAATTCATTATTGAACTTTGCCATAACAATGCGATTAATCGCAAAAAATCCATGCGATTAATCGCGATTAAATATTTTAATCGTTGCCCAGCACTAGTAAATACATACAGTGGCAACAAAGCAAAAGCAAAACATGCTGGTAAGGATTTCAACACTTAGTGTACTCTGTAACAATGTACCTTGTGTGAGCCGAAGATGTCAGGGTTGTTGTTCAGGTAACGAAGTGTGCTGAGAGCATGTTCATGGGTCTGGAACTGGACAAAGCCATAACCCAACGACTGTCCCACCACCTGACCCTTCTCTGGCCTCTTGTCATACATCACCCGGCACTAAAAGGAGAAACAGGAGGTACACACAAACACACACAGTGTGAATATGAATGACAACACCCACCCCCTGCTGGGCACACAGACACAGTGTTCTATGACAGCCAACATTCATAAATACTACTCACACAAAACTGTGTTTTTACAAAGCTGCACATGAATGATACCGGCTATAATAACACTGCTACATTTCATGAACCAGAATGCCATATTGGCTCTCACCTCTGTGATGCGGACTCCCTTGCCTCCTTTTACTGCTTGGAGGCAGAGGGCCTTTAGTTTTGTATTGTCCACTGACTTGGGCAGGTTATGGACACACAGGCGAGTCTTTGACACAAACACATTTATGGCCCGAAGCTTGGTCCTCTTTATTTCTTCAAACTAAAGGAAATAGACGACACCAAATACATGCGTCAACATAGAAGGAATTTGAGATTGTACCTGCGAGATAAACAAGTGTGCATGAAATTCACTCTGCAAGTAAGAAGCGTCTTGAATGGTAAGTGAAACATGAACTCACTCTGGTTCTTTTGGTCATGTCTGCTTCAGGTACACCCTCTGCAGCTTTGGTTCCAGCCCGGATCACTGCGTGTGGAGGTCAGAAGATAATAGCATGCATTATAAAAACAGCAAAGAAATGTGACAAGGAAACCTATTTCAATACACAAGACAGACATCGCTTTCCTAAGTCTTTAATATTGACAGTAAATCAAGTAACGGTATAAGGTGAAAGGGTCATTGGTAGAGCTGAGTGACAAAGCTGACAAGTGGCAAAGAAGAAGAAGAAGAAGAAGAAGAAGAGAATGAAATGTGTTTACTCACATCCCTCTCTGGCCAGATACAGGTTCCTGGTGCCCGTTTCCACTTTCACCTTGTCCACTTTCAGCTTGGAAGCATCGTCTCTGGTCACGGCTGTCACGATCAACAGCTTCCTGCCGTCTAGACGGATGCCACCGTTCTGCATCAAATAGCCCAATGTTACAACGAGGCAGCATTAAAACTCATTGCAAAGAAACGGATGATGCCGTGTCATACAAGGGCAGATTCAGGGAATACCTCTTGTTAATTATTCAGAATGCATTACCTCCGCCTCATCCTCTGCTGCTAATAAGCATTTGTCTGCAGCCTCTTTAGTCTTGAACTGAACAAATGCACAACCTGGTAAGATGACAAACCCAAGATGTGTTAACGAACCTGTTCTCTCAAACAACAAAGAGAAGAGTGCTCATTCAAGCACAGCTGACTGACCTTTTGAATGTCCCGTGTCTGCGTGGATAACAATCTTAATGTAGTGAGTCTCTCCGTACTTCAGCAGAACTTCCTCCAGACTGTCTTCCTCCGTATCAAAGGAGAGGTTCCTAAAGCAGCCGGGAGTAAGGTGAACAAAGATGGGGATAACATGGTGAGTTGCGTGGATAATTTGAGGGTGAAAAGAATGGAGCACAATAAACGAAAGGCGGTTTAAGATGAAGAAGTGAAAAGATTTGTAAACCTGATGAAAATTGTTCTGCCCTCTTTCACATCTGAAGGGAGAAGTTTATTTGAGGCTTTCTTCTTAGCTAGAGATAAAAGTAGCAGACGAGCACCGTCAAAACAACATTCACATGAAGATTTGTACTTGCATGAAAAACATAAGCAGGGAACTGATACCTGATTTATCTTCTTCTTCATCTTCATCTTCATCTTCATCCTCATCCTCTGAATCAAGGCTACTCTTATCGTCGTCACTGCCGTCATCCTGTTCCTGGGACACAGCATCGTCCTCTTTCTCGTCTTCATCCTCGTCATCCTCGTCATCCTCCTCCTCCTCCTCCTCCTCCTCCTCACTGTCTTGTTCCTCGCTAGCATCATCATCATCATCATCATCATCATCATCTGACTGGGATTCTTCCACCTGCTTCACAGATGGTTTGGAAGGGACTCTGAGGAAAAATTTCAAAATAAATGACCCGGTAAAGTGAACCCGTTTCTAACACCTGGTGTCACACTAACACAGGTGTAAAACATCGAGGTTCGTACCTTTTCCTTTCAGGTGCTGCTTGTGGCTTTTCTTCATCCTCGTCTTCAGTGTCACTCTTTGTGTCCGACTTTTTTGTAGTTGCTTCTGTAATCTTATTTCCTACTATGTAAATGAAACAGCGGTAATCATCACTATATTAATTATAATGTCTACTAAGACACATTTTTCTGTCATTGTTAATGTGAAGTGGATAATAAAATGATACGCATTTGTCTTGCAGAAGAAAAATGTGGAATAGTACCTGCACTGGGTGGCGGCTGTGTGGCAATATACTTGTCCTTAGGCACAGCCCAGTCAATTGCTACCTGCCGACCTGTGAATGAAACAATGACATTGAAAATGTAGTCACGTGACACAAACTGAATAAAAGTAAATTAACCGTTGTTCTCAAAGTAAGTGTCTCGCTCACTCACCTTTTATCTCCTTGAGGTTCAGAGCAGTAAGCGCTTTCCCTGCCTCAGACACATTTTTGAAAAGGACAAATGCAAATCCGCGCATCTTTCCATCTACAGAAACATAAGAATGTAACCAGTCAACGTGTTGTTTGGCTTATCTGTGCATCCAGTAGGGATAAAAAAACATTTTTTACCTGGTTTGAGGGGAATTTTGGCCTCAAGAACTGTTCCAAACTTAGATAAAATTTGTTTCAGGTCATCTTCTGAGCACTGTAACACAATGTCATATGTTACAGGTTAACCAGCAGATGTGCAACTGAAGTTCAGATAATGAATCAGCGTGCGCTCGTCAGTTGAAGCCCTTCACAAGCATTCAGTGCACTGTACCTTAAAACTCAAGTTTCTTATGATGAGTCGAGCTTTCAGACTGTTTTTCCTGAAGCCTTTGTTTTTCTGCTCGTTTTCTTTTGGTGCTGCAGCAGCAGCAGGCGCTTCAGGTGCTTAATGGAAGACACGAACAAGGTTATCACGTAGACATGGCGTGGGAGCTCTCCCAGTTGCTCGTTTTTTTTTTGGACATGCCTTTATACACACCTGTTTTCCTTTTGTCTTTAACGTTAATTTTCTTCTTCGCTACCGTCACAGAAAGCTTTCGTCCGTCGTATTCCTTTACTTCTTTCAATGCTCGCTGTGCATCTTCCTCCATGGCATATGTGACATAGCCAAATCCTCGACATTTTTCTGTGCCTGGTTTATAAATAAAAAGGTTGTTAATGTTTCCACTGTACTGCAACTATTAAGTAACGTGTCTTTATAAATACAGGCCCAAACAGGTAAGTCAACGCATCTCCAGTTGGAGTAAACGTTCTCGTTAAATTAGTAAGTAAAGAATGAAAGACAGTGACAACATCACCTTTCTCGCTGACCACGAAGCATTGCTTTACTGGACCAATTTCAGAGAATATTTGCTCGAGCCCTTCATTTGAAGCCGAAGCTGGCAGGGAGCTAACGAATAAGGTCCGTGCAGGCATGGCTTTCTGCTGCATGGCTAACGTTAGCTGTTAGCGCGCTAAGTATCGCCTTTCTGGCTCGGTTATAACTCACACACGGATGTCTGTAAGTCAACAATCCCGCATTGGGTGTTAATATCCAAGCATTCGGTATCACACGAATCGGCTGGATGAATACATGCTACAGAACTGCTAAACTTTAACACCAACAGCTAGCGGATTATATCGCATGTTTACATATGTGGGCAGCCATCTTGGAATCTAAACGGAAATGGTCTCGAGCCTTCGCTTCTCGCGGTTTACGCCGCCTACCGCCCGGAGGTTCACACGTGTTGTTCTTCTTCTTCTTTTCACTTTATTGGCGGACTACAAACGAACGTTTACGGTGAATGACGCCACTTACTGTACCGGAGTGTGTAACATCATGACTTTATGACAATTGTCATTTAAACACAATCATATTTTTATTATAACTAAATAAAAATATTTAAAAAAGACTTTGTCCCCTAGTATCAATTCTTTTCATAATGTACTATTATTTACTGTCCAAAAACAACCAAATATCCACTTCCTCCCTTGAACACTGTCTTTTAACGTTTCTTGTTTTTCCCGTGTACATTTCCTGTATGATATAAAGATATGTTTAACTTTATGACCCTCATGACATAAATCACAAAAATCTTTTTGATGTTTTCCTCTGATGGAAGCATGCTGTTACGGTTGCTATGTCTAATTCTCAACCCGCTTATTATTTACTCTTTCCGTTTTGAACATCCCTACTCGGTTATGTTTACAAGTTGCGTTTACATTTTTTTATTCTGATTCATGTATGTACATAGCTAGTAGCTTTAATACCAAAGGGAAATTGCAGATTCTGCAAACTAACCTCAAAAAAATGAGGTATGTGAGAAGCAAGTACAAAGGAAAAGGACATATTATATACATTAACTCAAATAAAATGAAAAATAGAGAAAGTTGAAAAATAATTTTTACTGAACAAATAAGAAATGTTAAAATGTTCAAGTTACAAGACACATTCTTAGAATATTATAGGCACACGATCAATAACAGACAGCTCAGACATTTCATTAATTTGTAAAAGGTTAGAATAATTCTAACTCGCCACGTACTGCTTTGGTAGTTTGGGAAAGCACCGTCACTTATACAGGTTTACCACAGAGGCTTACTGTGCCGTCTCTGTCAAAAGGTCATGTGGTGTTTTGTTCAGTACTGTCGACACTCACCAACATGGTTTTTGGTGTGGAAAAAAATACATTCTTCTAAGCAGTGGTACAACATTTGTGTATTTATGAGGTTGTGTAGTGACAACATTATGTTTTGACTTCGGGAAAGTAGAGTGCATGTAGAGCACGAAGGCTTCTGGAAACAACTATTGAAGAGAAGGTTCCATAAATCTCGTTACTGACTCATGTATGTGATCACTGTCACAAAAACAACTGCACACCTTTAAAGTGCAACTTCCTCAAAGCAGCAATTTGGTATGGTTACTTCGGGAGATGAGCGCACACTCAATCAGTAAAGTTTAAGGTAAATATGTTGCAACAATTCATAAACACAAACAACACTGTCCTTGAAATAAAGGGCAAACAAGGACATATCAGAGTGTCCTTGCAAAGACACACCCACAGAAACAGCAAATGCACAATCCTTCATTGTATGCTATACTGTACAATTCACATCATGGAGCTGATGTAGTTGATAATGAGATCCAGCATCTTGGCAATAGTCTGTGCTAAAAATACAGTGCCTTAAAACTGGATTTTTTTCCAGTTGGAGCGTCTGTGTTCTCACTTCAAGATAACAAGCAGGGTTTTAGATCTACAGTAAAGCAAAGTGAATTTGACAGCACAAGTGGTTTATTCAAAGTCAATGGATGAATGTTCTGACGGAAGTTTTCTGACACAAGACTCTGGCTGCGGTCGAAAAGTCAAAACATTACCTCCTACGGTCTATTCCTAACCACTTTTCCTTGACGTCAAGGAAAGATGTGAAGGAGAATTCGTGAGTTAGGCAAAGACCACCGTGGTGCTTCGAGAATCGGACTCCACTTTCACTAAACTACGTAATTATGATGCGCCGGCGGATGTCACTGACGTAGGTCTGCCATGGCGAAACTACAACGAAGAAGGACTACAAAAAAAGCACATTGAAAACATGACCTAATGAAATCTATTGTTCTTGTGCATGCAGGCTATTTAAAGAGCTTCTTTTGTTAGAGGCTGCTTCCCTCGTGGTGTGTGAAGGAGAGAAACCGGAGCTCCTTTATTCCTTCCTGCTGCTGCTGCTGTGAGTCATACAACTCAAAAATATATATAGTTATATACATAATAATACACTCAACATATTTTTAAACCGATGTGTGTTCGGCTTAGTTAGTTGAAATAAAATCTCATGACTTTACCGGTAGGAAAATGTGAAACATAAAATTGAATTGAATATCCATTCCGATAATCGTAACACATCGTACGCTACTAAGTATTTTAAACAAAGAAAACAAGCAAAGTCAAGCTATTGTGGTTTGTGTTGTACTGAAATCATCTCACAGCTTGGCCTTCAGCGGGGTGCCGCGGAGTGAGTGGAGGAACATGTCTAGGGTGGTCAGATACTCTTGCTGGTGCCTCTTTAGGTGACCTGCATGTGTCGAGTCCTCCCACTTCTTTGCCGTGACGTCTATCCCACGCTTCCGCCAGTGATCGATCAACTGCTCTATGGCTCGTGCTTCGCTCAACGCATCGTTCTCGCAAAAGAAGAACAGTGCAGGAGCAGTGATGGGAGTGCTCCAAAAAGCATCAATGCTCATGTTAAAGTAGTCTACTGTCTGGCGTCTGAACAGGTCAAAGTATAACAGGCTTACTTTTTTTACCACCGGCTCCCATCGTGGAAATACAGTCTTAGCCAGACCTGGGCAGAGAGGAGAAACACAGTATTCATTTCCACTAAAAAGCCTTCACTTCTACTCAATGTATAAATAAAACGAATGGATCAAAGTTAAATCAAGTCATTACTGAACTGACCTGTGGCCATTGTCTCCACCGAGCCCATCACAAGGCTATCATAGACCAGGCCTTTGATCCTCTGTGTGAGCGCCTGGTATTTCTGTGTGTCCCGGGACATGTGTACCACCAGCTGAGCAAATGTGTAGCCACCAATAGAGAAGGCATGGACAAGCAGTGGGCGGGACACAAAGCGTTCACTGTGGAGCAACTCCAGCAACCGCTTTCCATGATCGAGGCCCCAGCGAGGCCACAGGAACTCTTGAACCTTGAGTTAAAAAAAAACAGTTGGGGTTGAGGCAGTCTCAGTTCAGGGCCCATGCTTTTATGGACTACTTAAGTCAACAATCACAGAGGTTAGACATCCTCGTCTCTGTCCTTACATTGATGACTGATCATAAAAGTGGTAATGTAAAAAGATAGTTGCTGCGTAGACCTGATATTCAACCACGACTTTGACGTTCTTCTCCAGACATAAACTTCTGCAAACGAATAAGCTCCGATATACCCTTTGACGTCGACTGCATGAATAAAGAAATAAAAGGGCGTGTCTAACAGCTCCTTCAGGCTCAGCAGGAGACGAAGAAAAACTCAGGGTTTGTTGAAGAACACCTGCAAGCGAGCAGGAGAGGTTCACATGCATGCAACTATGAATAGAGCCTTAAGTTCAAGAGGTTTACCACATATTGATCTAGCTTAACTCAAAAGCAAGAGCAAGGTTGAATACTGTCTCTTCATCATGTTTACACCAACAGCTAATAGCTTACCTATAAAGTTAGATTGATTTCAGCTGGAACAAGGAGTTCTTTTGGTTTCGATAAATGCACCGAATAAGTTTAGTATCAGCTTTATTGCATAATTTGGTAAATCTCTTTGTCGCTGAATTACAATATGCTTTGTCCTTACCTCACTCGCCACTACAAGCACATCATAGCCGGTGCGGAAGTAGATTTCACAGTATTTAGCCACAGCTTTAGGATGTGAACCCAACCAGGGCAGCATGAGCATAAAGGGTTTATCTTCAGGGGCTTTGGTCTGACATCCTGAGACTGCAGGTGCCAATTCATTCACATAGATGGTTACATTCTTACTGAGGCGATGGGCAGTGATGCCCAACATAGTAGCTGCTGCCAGGCTCCCCATGAGATGAAATGTGACTCGCTCTGAGAGAAAAAAAAAAAAGAGGAAACAAAGAGGAAAACGTTTTTTGCATTTACTGAGTTCAGGGAGTCAGTGAAGGTCTCATGACACGTGCAGCTGTTGAACCTGTCAATCATCCCAGTAGTTTCTGTTGATTTTGGCTACCGACCACAGTTCTGTCAACTAATAAAGTCCAACAAGCGAGATAACGTATAGTAGCTTTCCTTATCGAGGGTTGCTACAATAATAGCACGACCTGTTATAAACTCATCATAAGACATATTAACATATTAACAACAGAAGCTCTGAAAACGTTAATAAACGTCAGAGTTAGCAAAACCACTGAGATTAACGATAGTTTCTTAATTTCGTAATTTAGCTTAAATTGTGTCTTCTCAAATGAAAGTTATCTTACAGATTATACCGTACGTTTAGTTACAATAAATCAACCTTTCACGAAAATAGTTGTACTAACATAATTTACATTTATAAGACCTAAACACGCCTTAGCCAAGTTAGCTGGTTAGCTTAAGTTTACGTCAACGTGACAACAGTTTGTGACTTTATCCCGTCTGCTGGCTAATTTACTAACCTGGGTCTATTTGTGTGCCAGAGATGCTGATGCTCTAAAGTTATCTCATGTTGAGGGCTCTTCCACCGCTTATCATTACCCGCAGTTTGAGGTCACCTCGCTCTGCACGCGACTGTGATCAGTGTTTTTCCATTTAAATGATCCGGCACGTTTCCCAGCTTCCTCGCCTCTCCGACTTCTTCATCTGATGCGTGTTTTCTTCAGTCGGCTGTCGGTCGCAGTTTAAGCAGACTGCTGCCCTCCTTCGGGCATAACGTGCTCGGCAAACAAACTCAAAGAGGGCGGTCCAGTTTAACCAGTATATACCGATCCCTACTCTCTGACGTGGCGCTATACCGCATTTATAAGGCACTTGTTGTTCTTTAGGCTTACCTATCCATCCAAAATAGTACTCTCCGACGACTAAAATAAAAGGACAGAAAATCACCGAGAACCTACGGTGAAAAAAGGATAAATAAAGCTATATTATAGGGGCCACTCTTGATATTTGTCCTGGTCACTCAAGACTTCAGTATTCCTAATCCTAAAATGTCCATAAAATAGTCCTAAAAAGCCCAGTATCTTATATTTAAGTAGAGTATATTAGTTATAGTTTACATTTTTATTTTAATGAAAAATGTGTCATATCACAGTATGAATGGTACGTGTAGTATAGAGTGTTCAGTGAGTTTCAGTGTCATAGATGTTTGTTAAAGTCTTATTGTATTAATCCGCTATAAACCAGCTCAAGTGGTCACGGTTCCACAGGAGAAGGGCCCAAATGCAGAAGGATGATACACGGAGATTGTATTAAAGAAAATATACAAAACAAAACTTACACAGCAGGGAGTCCAAAAATGAGGAATGAGAAACTGAAAATCCAACAGGCAAACCAGAACGGGCAAAACGACACAAATTAGGACCAGGTAACCGGACATGTGCACAAGCAATACTAACAGGGAGCATCGCAGCCGAACCACCAGAGACACAGGAACATGGTTTATTAAAAACACTGAGAGGTGTAGGTGAGTAGACTCAGGAGGACTGAATCAGGGGCGGGGCTGACAATTACAAAGGTAGGAGGAAGTGAAATGAACACAAACGGGACCAAAGCCAACACTTGTAGCACTGAGGCAAAAATTCCTTTCAGTGTTGCATTAGCTTTAATTTCCCAATATTCAATGATTTTCCTTCTTCCAAATTATATCCAAAATCATCAATGTGTATTTGTGAATGTGGTTGTGATTGTGTTAATTAACCTCTTAACCCTGAAAAAGAATAAACGTCTATAAAATCTGTACATTTGGAATAACATTTACAAATGCACAAAGATTAGAAATATTGAAGAGGAAGTGTAACACACTGTGATTAAATAATCAAATCAGCCAGATCTAAAACATCAGTCCGGCAAACGATAAAAGGGACAAAGCGTAACGGTCAAATCAAATAGAGGGCTTTCTCTGCTCACATGGACATACACAACATATAACGTTATTTTATCCATGACTTGTTTTTGTCCTCTTCTTCTTTGCTTGTGCAGCTTTGTTCCCGTGTCTTGTCCTGACTGTCCACATTCCCAGCTGGACCCTAATCTCTGCTGACTTTGTCTTGTTGTAGGATGACTTGTCTAAACAGAAACCAGTTGCCCAATGAATTAGGATAGCAAGTGTGAGGCGGCAATAATTTGGCCATGTCCCTCACTGAGCTCATATGTTTGGCCTGTCATTGTTCCTATCCAGTCCCTTTAGTTACGGCTGGGTTGGTGCTTTCCTGTGTCCTCATCAGACAGCGGGTTGATCACACCCCTTGGGAAGTTCCTATCTTCATCACTGACTTTCTATCTAAATGATCTACCAAAGCCCTCACTGCCTTTCAATTCTTTTTAATCTGAATCCCACTGTTGTGAGTGGAGGCGTTTTCATCCTGCAAGCAGAACCTTTTGCAGAGGCAAAATTAAACTTTGGATCATAATGCTGCTGTAGCGAACAAATTTCCCCTTGCAGGATTAATAAAGTATCTATCTATCTATCTAAACTGCTCTCTTTATTATTGGCTGTGGTGTTAACTGTCACAGCCAACTCCAGTATAAGAATCAGCCTTTAAGTCTTTGTGTTTTGTGGTAAATATATGTAAGAGACGGCACAGATGTGCGACTATGCTTTAAACTCTCTGACTCTAAATGCATCCAAAGGTATGTGGGTCACTGTCTATTTTAGGACCACCCTTGGGAATTAAATTAGGCCATGAGGCTACTGGATTTCCCCCACTGGGTTAAAACTACACACATGAACAAGAAAATAAAGAAAGTGAGTAACATGGCATCATCAGAGAGAGAGATCATTCGAGTCAAAAGCTCTTCCCACAATAATGGCATGGCAACAAGGTCACGAGTGGTAATTACAGAATTTAGGTTAGCAATTCTCTGTTTAAATGTGCATCCTCTTGGTTCAGAAGTACTGTGTGTACAGTACATATGCACACAAGTAACCACTATTATGCATTATGCATGTCTGCCATTCAAAGAGAATTTCCTGCTTCATTTAACTAATGTTCGTGACACAAATTGAGTGATGGCCACTTTAAGAGGAAGGGTGCAGCATCAGTTGTAAATTAAAGTCAATAGCGGGTATTGATCTGTAGCACTGGTTAGGTCAGTGCAGGGCAACTGCATGTTTTGGTCCCTATGACATATTTATGACTTTTTCCTTTTTTCTGTCCTTCACAGTACTTCTCTTCTCTTCTCACACCAGAGGGATACGATGAACAGAAACAGCAGTCAGAGAGGATGCTGTGTGTGGTGTGGATGATGGCTCATATTTAGGAGAACGGGATCGTGCAAACAGTCAATCTGACTGTCAGATCAGTGCAGCAGCAGAGAGTGGGACAGCGGGGGTTGTCTCCAGGAGGTGGGGTCTGACCCATGTGTCGACTGATGGAGAGAAGAGGAGCACAGCACAGTGAGTATGAAAGGACACAGAGAGCTACGCAGAGAGAGAGACTGCAGGCATGCAGCGACGCTAAGGAGCATACATGTTTAAAGAGGCTGCTGCAGAGTGGGCTAATGATGAGGTAAGAAAGCTAAACTGGGACCATCTAGAAGAACGCAGTCGTGTACTGAATATCTTTTAATGTGCTGTTATAATGAATGAACATTTGCACCCTGACGTGTGTACTGTGTGTATGTTGTGGGAGTATATAGGTGAAAGGGTATGAGGTTTTGAACGCTTTCATATTTGCATTTTAGTATTCGCCTATGCAGAAATTCAAGTTTTTTATTGCAAATATCCTAGCAATGCACAAGTTTTTGTGAGTGGTTGCACAGATTGTGTCTTGAATGTAATTTACCTTTCCCCCCCTAGGTGTATTAAGCATGAGATCCCCCAGAGACCTGAGCTAAAAGATCTGTCAACCTTGTGACCGGACGATAACCGTCAAAACCTTCAGCATGTGACTTTGCGGTGGAGTTTGCAGACCCTCGCCATGCACTCTCTGTGGAATCTTTATCTTCTTCTCCCCCTCTCCTTGCCTCTATCACTTCATGTCATAGCCTTCACTGGAGAAAATGTCAAGGATGCACAACAGCCAGACACCGACACAGCAATACGGCGTCTCACACAGCCACCACAGAGACCACATGGATCTGGTTTAGCACCGGGGAATCCCATGTTTGGGACTGAGAATGTTGACTTCCCAGGTCTGCCTGTGAGTTGGCCCCTATCATCATCTGAGGATTCCGATAGACAAGGTGTGATTGGTGAATACGTTGATATACAGGAGAGCACAGAGACATCTCGTTTGTATCCTAATGAGAAGGGACTTATCATATCCAGACCTTCAGATATAGAAGATGAGACTTCCAAGGAGCGCACACAACCAGCAAGGTCTTCATCAGAAGGAGCACCACCTCGAGCCACCCAGGAACAAACATTAAAGTATCAGCCAGCCGAGACAAATACTCGATCCATATTGCATTCTACACAGACAGGAGAGAATCAGCCAACTTTCCCAGCCTCTCAGAAGGAGACGACTGATGGACAGTTTCCTTATCTTCGGGCTGGCTCACTTCCATCAGTTCCGGACTCCACTTCACCGCTGTCTGCTGGACCTGGGCCCAGCCCTGAGCGGCCCACTCCACCAGTAACCATTTGGGGACGGACCACAGGCCGTTCTCTTGTCATGCAGGAAGGGACACAGGAGCGGACAGTCCCAGTGAAAGAGGCCGGAGATGGATTAATTGATATTACAGGTGATATTTTACACAGAGGAGCTGTAAGCATGGAGGCAGATAAAGGTAAGGCTTGAATGAAATTTAATTTATTTGGAGCATCCATCATTCAGTAAACTTGACACCAATCACAGTTAACACCTGTCGCTTATGGCCTATATTAATAGTAGCATTTATAGTGTTGCCCTCATTAAATACCTAAAATAAAATCTACAAGACTCCAAGTATATATGTGTGACTGCAGTGTCTCTGATAGGTATTCTGCTGGCAGACACATTACACTCACAGAAGGCTTTGCATCCCTTCACTCCCCCAAACTTTCACCCTCCTCAAAAATCTCTCTCTAACTCTTCCAAAACCCTCTCTCCCCTCTCCTTCTCAATCATTGTATCACAGATTCTCAATCCTCCACTGTCTTGTTGATGTCGAAACATTTCATTTAGTCAGAGTACATTACCCACACCCAAAGGTTACTGGATAATGTGGTGCACACCTGCACATGCAGTATTTACTGTACACACACACACATGATGGCACTCACTTGTCAAAGTAAATGATGTGTTGTGTCCACAAACATAGAGGGAGGAGGGCTTTGACATTACTATGTGAGAACTTACTCTTCCTCAAGCTGCCTATGCATTTGCAGTTTTGAAATTGCTAAAACACAATTTCTGAAACTCTACACACATAAACCATAAACATATACACAAAATACTAAATATTTTACCAGTCTTGCAGTTATAACCAGTAGGTTCCCTGAATCTGGTCGCATACAGCTTACTCTGAACGTTATTTCACCAAGAGAATGAGATGCTTACATTATTTATTGGTTACACAATCATAGTCAGATATGCAATTTGAATATCTCTGCATGTTGTTAGAGAAAGGATGCAACATTAATGACAGCCCAACACCTCTTGACCATGCTTAATAATAGCCACACAGAATGAGAGCATCAATGAGGTCAATACTGGCTAATCAACACACATTTTTCTCTCTACACTACTTCCTCATTCTCCCACTCTCTCTGTGACCCAGTTAGAGATGCCCAAGCCTGCTCTGTTTTATTATGGATTAACTTCACACATGGCAGATACTCCCCTTCTCTCTTTTTGGACAAAAATACTGTGCATATAATCACTTTGGCCTGTATTCATTGAAACATATTATGATGGCGTACTCTGAAAATTAATGTCACCATTATTACAATCATCATCAGCATGCTAACATGCTAATTACTAAGCTAGTGTTGATGTTCCACAGGATAAGTTTAGCATGTTCATCATCCTGTTTTAGTGCGTTAGCATACTCTCTCCACTTTCACACTTAAAACGATCAGTTGTGTCTGCATTTAAAATGTCTACCCTTTGGGCTCTGTTGACACAACACATGAGTTGGTAATGTTTCAATTCATCGTACTTGCTTTTTTAGATAACTCCAAGGATGATGACCCACATCTCCCAAAGACCAGTGGCGCACTGTTGCTTGATGGTAACACAGACACACCTGCCACACCCTGCAAAACATCAAACCAGTCCTGGACTCCCACCTACCCAGATGACTTTACCCCCAACGAGTCCATGCGCCCCGATCTGACTCTCAGCTCTGCCCTTTTCGTCCCTCTGTATTCGGACTGGAACTCTGCCCTCGCCACATGGGGATTTGCATGGGAAGCACACGTCTATGGCCTGGGGTCTGTCTTTACTGTATTTGGCCTAATCTCTGTGGTCTGCCTGTTAGGCCTGCCCCTGCGGTGTCCCCCGGGTAGCCCCTACTTCACCCTGCTGCACTTGTTCCTTCTAGCGTTTGCAGGGATCCAAGCTTTCTGTTTGCTCTACGATGCTTACAATCATCAAGATCGTCTTCCCCCTCTGGGCTCTCTGCTGCTCTCTGAACTGCCCTTTCCCTGCTTGATTTCAGCCTTCTCCCTTTCCTTCATCCTTCTTTCCTTACGCTCACGCATGTATCTTTCATTCCCACTTGCTAATTCCACCATCTTCTCAGCCTTGCCCAAACCCTGCCTGTTACTGTGTATGTCCATGCTGTATTCTGGGGTCTCTCTAGGGTGTGTTGGCATGCTCCAGCTCTTCCACAGCCTCCCCTCAGTGATCCTGCTATTCCCTCAGGGGGTGTTTGTATGTCTCACCATCTTTCTCTCATGCTCCTACCTCATCTTCTACTGTTTGATGCAATTCAACACTAAACACATCTACCGGCTGAATGACAATGGAGAGAGTGGAGGATCTCCTGCAGTGATGCCACCTGCACGTTGCCCCTTTGCCAAAGTGGAGGACTGGGGTAGGGCAGCAGGAGCTGGAGTATGGGCTTCGTTGTGTTTGTTAGGGTGTGGAGGCCTCCAGTTTTATGGGATCCTGCATGCCCTTGGTTTGGGTGGGGTTGATGGCTATGGGTTCCAGCCCTGGCCCTGGTGGGGATACCAGGTAGGCTGCAGGCTCTGTGAGATTGGGGTGTGTCTAGGTTTGTCTCTCATTGGTTCACACCCTATATTCTGTCAAAACAACTCCTCTATCAAGACCATAACTAATCCCCGGCCAGGATCTTGGTCCCGTCTCTCCTGTAGCTCCCCTTTACGAGGGTTCACCCTGCCCTCTCAGGGAGGTGCAGATTCTCCTGTCCTCTCCTCTCACTATTCTTGGTCCCAGGGTAAGCAAGAAAAGCTGGTGGTCTGTGATGTCATAACGAAGGGACAGACAGAAACTCTTCCTCTTTTCTCAATGGTGGATCCTCCTGGGAATGGGCTTATCCCCAAGTCCAGCCAAACCCAGAGCACTGTACTACCTCTCCCTACACCCCCAAGCCCACCGCACAAGCCTAAAAATGCAATTGAGTCTCAGATATTGTCACTGGATAGCCTAGGAATGGATACTGACTCAACTGGGGATCTACGGCCCCCGTCTCCCATAGACCTGTCCCGCAGCATTGACCAGGCTCTGTTCAGTGAATCCCTATTCTCTCACAGTATTTTTGGTTTGCCAAGACTCTTAAATGGTTCTTCCAGCCTCTCTTTGAGCTCTCCTAGCCAGGGTGCATCACAGCAAGGGCCTAGCTCTATGGAAATTGCCCTGTACCGAACCTCTTCTTGTGGTGACATGGAGCAAGACAACACTCTGTCCAGTTCAAGACCTTCCCAGCCACATAGCTCTTTGACATCTCACAGCAAGCCACCAGTGCCACCAGAGCAATGGGATTGGAAAGAGAGCGTATCTGGTTCAACACACGGCCTGTGCAGCAATCCCAAGGACTCAGGAAAGCTGCGCTCACATTCCTGGGCCAACAGAGGTCAAAACTTTGCTCAGAGCAGCCTCCCCCAAGCAATACACCTGTCATACCACCGGCGTTACAGAACCCTGAGCTTAGCCTCCCAGGACAGTCGCGGATCTGGCCGGCTGGCAGGTACTAAACACCTGAGTGAGAGCAAACAGCTGGAATGGGATCTGGCTGTGCAGGCAGAGTTTGTCAACGTGTGCAGACAAATTGACACTCTGAGTGTTTGCAGTGACACCATTGAATTGTAGAAAGTTATACAAGTTCAGTTAGGATTGAAATGCACATGACATTGTACAGAAACAGCACTCATAACAGGTTAGATGACATCAGATCATAAAAGTTATACACATCAAAATAATTACCTGAACTAATAAAAGGAATTAACATTATTGATACAACATGTAGCCCTAAATTATTTTCTATAAATACTGTACTGTTGATATTATGTATGTTGAAAACTTGATGTTAAAGACTGTCTTTATGACAGCTCATCTCAGTTTTAATATTTGTACAACTGACATCTTGAGCTTCATGATATTTGAAGCTGCAGAGAGAAATGTAAAGGGATTTACAGCTAATGGAGGGCCTTATTTAATAGTGACAAACAAAGTTTATTTCTACACAGTTGATGTACTGTTGTGTTTTCAATAGTGGAAAAAGTTTGACATGCGCAGAAGGACTCTTCCCCATTGGGATTGTATGGACACAGTTTAACAGTGTTAAACAATAACAATACAAATCCATGACATGTGATCAGCTCCTTGCTGGCTATTAAGTTGTGTACAAAGTTGGCAAACATACTTCATCATGGGAACAACAGACATTTTGGCATGAAATGCTTTCCTCACAGGATTATCATAAATTATTTCAGTGTGGTGTAATAAATTTGGAAATTCAAGGAAATTTCATAAATACACAGGATTAGTTTATCCTTCTTTTTTTGTACTGCCTCCTAAATCAACCATTTGAGAGGTATCTTTGAAATATTAGTAGTACTACAGTCAAAGGTGCAATAATCTTACACTTGTGAAAGAGTTCAAGTGAAAATTGAAGTGGTTACATTTTAAATATATTTCGCAGAACATGTTCTTCATACAGACTTCTGGAGACTTGACAGAATTCCTAAAACAATATCAAAACGCCGTTTTCAAAATTATCTTTATTCGTGCAAGACTATTAACATAGACATCATTTTGAAACCAGTGGGTGATGAAAGAAAATATTTATATTTTCTGTAACCTTTAAATAAGAAACTATAAAGAACTGTAAAATAACTTCATCAACCAGTACACTAGCTCATTTATTTGATTGCATGTTATTGCATGATTAACATCAACTGTTTATCATAAAACAACACGTTATACCAAAGATGTTGAATTCCACCCATAAAACTAAGAAATCACACTTAAAACTGATAAATCAACTTGAAATAACTTTTTGTCTACAACTCCATAAAGAAATTAATCTATCCTGGGCAACTGTTTTGTTACAACCCTTCTGCACTGACTTTATCGCTCTATTTCATTGACTCCTAAATTAATGTTTTTAACCTGAAAAAGAGAATAACTACCTTTATTATGTATTATGTACAGTCAATAGCCATGTAATTAATACTGTGTTTTTGCTAAATGAAATGATCGAAGATCACAACATGTCAAGCCAATGTGACTCAGACTTATTTGCAGTATGAATATAAAATGAGCAGTGTTTGGAATTATAATCAGATAATCAAAAATGTAAAGTGTGTATAGTCTTCTGTCTTGTCACTCAAACATTTTGTTAGCGAGTATTTTCTGCATCAAATAAGGTGAGCAGACGAAAATCCAGGAAGAGATTACACATGATCGCTCCTTTAAAGCCCTCCTTGATTAAAATATGTGAATTAAGGCTGATGCTACGTTTTGGTCCCTTCTGCAACAGCAGCAGCACATTGAAAGAGCTCACAATCTGGAGGTGAGAATACATACAGGGTGATCTGAGCAGAGAATCCATTATGTAAAAGCTAAATATTCATCTGTTAGAGAAATTAAAACTAACAGGTGTTGTTAGAAGATAATGAGAACACAATTGTACTATATGTAGATGTTTCCTCCTGGTTAAGTAAGCTTTATACACAAGTTACCGTGCCAGAGCTTGTAATGTGGCTGTGTAACTTTACTGTTTACTTTACTCTTTTTCTGAAATTAAATGGTAAACAATTATTGCCAGAATTATGTGTCTTTTATTTTGTAAATAAAGTATCTGACAGCTTAATGTCGTCTAAAAGTTTATGCACGCTCCACTACACATACATTGTGTAGTGAAACTAATACTGCACCTCTGCAAGCTGTGTTGTTTTGCCTACTCGCCTGTATCAAGGTGCAAATTCAGAGGCCAACCAGGAGCTGGGCCTCCCGTTAGATCAGCAATGATAAGCTTGTCCTAAAGAAGCTACATCAGTTTGCTTGTTGAAAGGGATCAGGTAATTACATCACCTCCACTGCACCTTGGCCACAGTGGAAGAAAGACAGATAAAGAGTTCAAATGTGGACGTGACTGCATGTGGAGTTTGAACTTTTAATTCAAGTTCAAGTGTGTTGTTTTGTCCACCTTTGAAGGGGTCAGAGACGGGAGAGACAAGAACAATTTGGGAGAACACAGAAAAGCAGTCTCAGGTTTTAGAGGGTGTATGTTGTACAGCTTTCTGTTTGTAGTTTGATTACATGCGCCCGGTGCATCTGCTCATAGCTGCTGGGGTCGGGACATTTGGTCCTGCTCGAGTGTTTCCTCTTCCTCCTGCCTCAGTAAAGTCGTTTCTCGTAACTAAGCATGAAACAGAAAAAGAAGAGTGTTCGTGTCGCCTGTGTTTAGATAACATTTCCATGCTATAAAAGCAATATTGGACAGAGATGAATGAATGACAAAAGAAGATGGAGGTGTGATAACCACATTGATGTACTTACATGGCACAAAAGAATATCTAATGTGACAGCATGGGTAAGAAAAGAGGAAGAGAGAAGACACAGACAAATTCCAATTAAAAGGTTTCTGACAAAGGTTTCTGAATACAAGTGAAGCCGACACGCATCATTAGTACCTTTACTATCGTAAAGTAAATATTCAGAGAGGAAACACATGATGACAGACTTCACTGAACTACCACTGCCACTGAAATATTCAAACAGTAGAAAGAGGAATACAGTAAAGAGACACATAGAATAAGAAGGGTTGCAGAGGGGGAAAGGTCAGAAACCGGGGATGAGGGGTCAGAGGTCAGACTTACGAGTGGAGGCCGTGGACTCCTCCCTCGATCTGAGCAGACATGGTTCTCTTCTCAAACTTCAGCTCTCCAGAGTACATCATCGACCTGGTGCAAAGACATGCAGCTCATATCTAAAGGCCCTTACACAATACAAACTTGCACACACACACACACACACACACACACACACACACACACACACACACCATTTCACACTTACCGTAAAATGGATAAACTCTTGGCTCCTATGTCCTGACAGCCATGTTGGATACCAGCAATGAGATAGGGAACAAACTTGTGAATGGAGCCTTTATCTTGCACTGATCCTGAGACGCCTTGAGCCACCTTCAGCTTATCTCCCTCACTGGATACACCAACAGAATATAAGCAGAGTAAGAGATAAAGAGGTCATTGCGACATCCTTTGAGTATATATTTTCCTAAGGACCTCTGTAACCCCACTCCCTCACCTGAAGTAACGTTTCTGACTGTTATCTTTCTCCATGGCATCCAAGGAGCCCATTCCTCTGTACTTTTTCAGACGGACGCCATCTGAAAAGAAATACTCTCCTGGAGCTTCAGTAGTTGCCGCGAGCAATGACCCCATCATCACTGAGGGCAGAAATATGAGGACAAAAATATCGGATGCGGTTATGCATATTGCCAAGCACAACAGGCAAAGACAGAAAGAGTGCACTGCTGTCTTTTGGTTAAAAAACTAACAGTGACAGCACCTTCAGACCTTCTGACTCAAAATATTACACCGAATGTCCACTGGGTGATCCAAATGTAATTCACAAAGATGTAAGACTTGAGGAAACAGTAGTACACGGGAGGAATCAACGTTTCTCTACCCGTTGATGCTCCCAGGGACAGAGCCTTCACCACATGTCCAACAGTCTGAATGCCCCCATCAGCAATAACTGGCACTCCAAAACGTCGGGCATACTCTGCAACCTTGTACACCGATGTACCTTGGGGCCGTCCACATGCCATCACTGTGAAACGAGAGGATAATATTGTGTATTACAAAACTATATTAGGTTTATCACACATAATCTAAGTTTTCAGTTTTGTTGGCTATTTTGACTACACAAGTTTGTATCTTAAACCAACTGTTATTTACAGTACTGCACTTTTCAACATACCTTCCTGTGTGATACAGATAGAGCCACAACCCATGCCCACCCTCAGGGCATCCACACCAGCATCTATGAGGTTTTTGGCCTGAGCAGCTGTCACCACTAGAGGGGCACAGACAAACAGATAAGAGCTCAGAGTGGGAGACAGAGGTATGAAGGTTTACACAAATATAAGGTTATAGGGTGTTTACACAGCACAAATGCAGAAAAAGACGAGCAGAGCTTACCATTTCCTCCAACTACCTGTAGTTCAGGATATTTCTGTTTGATGTAGTTTATCATATTGATTTGATACACTGAGTTTCCTTGGGAGGAATCCTGTTAAAATTAAACAGTTTCAATGAGAGATGAAGCACCTACTCTATCTCTGATTAAAAAAGAATCGATAGGTAAATTAGAGCGTTTAACAAAATCATCAAGAAACCCCAAAGCTACTACATTCATCCCATCTGTATCAACAAGCTGATCATTTTTCTGACTGGCATGGGATATGCCATCAGAATCAAATCACAAATTAACCAAAAGCTGAATCCGACCCCATTTAAAACCTACCAGGACTACCACGTCCACCCCAGCCTGCATGAGTAGGTCCAGTCTGTACTTGTCGTCCTCCCTTGTACCGATTGCAGCTCCACACAGCAGCTGTTTGCGGGAGTCCTTGGAGGCCAGAGGATAATCTCTGTTCTTCTTCAAGTCAGTCCTCGCAATGATGGCAACCAGCTCATCGCTGTCATTTACTATGGGGAGTTTTCCTTGGAGAGTCAAAGTGTTAAATGAGTGACAGAAGAAAGAGAAAAGCCCAAGCGGGTCCAAGTGCTGGTTACTTGTGCTCTACTGTAGCGTGACCTACTTCACAGATTTACCTTTTTTGCTACGTTGCAGTATCTCATTAGCCTCTTTTAGTGTGACTCCAGCGGGTGCAACAACTAAATCTTCTCTTTTCGTCATTGCCTGAATCAGAACAGTAAAGTGCATGTATATTAATATACCACCCATTCATTCAACAGCATATGAATGATGCATATATCGTGTTCTCACACACATAAACAGATAAGCTATACACACACACCTCCTCCAGGGGTCTGTCATGGTCCTTCTCAGACAGAAAGTCTATGTCTCTGGAGGTGACAATGCCGACCAGCTTGCTGCCCATCTTGCCGGTCTCTGTTACAGGGATCCCAGAGAAACCATGGCGTGTCTTTGCCTCAAACACGTCCCCCACTGTGTGTCGGGGACTCATCACCACCGGATCTGTAATAAAGCCCTGCTCAAATTTCTGGCAAGAACAAAAACACAAGCGTTGAATGATTAGAGGCCATTCAGTGTACACTGTTTTCATCTTATTGTGAAAGAGGGTTGTAGTAGGTGCTGCAGTGTCACAGATACATTTCTCAGTGAACTGTAAGTTCATGTCTGTGTCGACTTGGTCCGTCATACCTTGACTTTGCGCACCTCGTTGGCCTGGAACTCAGCAGTACAGTTATGATGAATTATTCCAATCCCACCCATCAACTGGAACCCGCCAAACAGAGACACGAGAGGAAATAATTCATTGATGAAATAACACTGAAAAGTATCCGGGGGTCCTCAATGTTCTTCTGCACTTGGAGCAGGATGATGCGAAACTGAATGAGCAATCGGTTGTGGTGTGTGTGTGTGTGTGTGTGTGTGTGTGTGTGTGTGTAGTGCTGCAGTGCTTGTACTCACTGCCATGGCGATGGCCATGAATGACTCTGTGACCGTATCCATGGGAGAAGAAATAAGAGGTGTCTTCAGGGTTATCTTCCTCGTCAACGCAGAGGTTAGATCCTTAAAAAAAATTGGGGTGCATTTGGAAACAGAAATCATTTTATGATCTTAAAAAACACTTGGAACAAAGTCAATCTAAAATATAATCTCAAATGTTTCGCTGTGACCTACAGATGACATGATTTTCTACAAACAACGTCCCCACAGTGTTGCAGCTGCAACACATTTGTTAACCAAATGTTAAGGCTGGTTTTTAATTTGCATCGAAATAACCTATAAAGCAGTTTAGACAGATTAGAGGTTGACTTGTTGAATTCACCTGCTGAGTGTTAGATGACGCAAGTGTGTGTCTGTTTTGAACACCTGCTATCCAGCAATAACCCATGTGACCCAGGCATGAAATTAATTTAATGTCCCAGCAGAGCTTGCAAAGACGAAAACAAAGCAAGCCAAACAAACAACCTTGTGCTCCACGGAACACAAGGAAGAGTTAGGGATTAATTACAAGGGTTACAGCAAAACATGTAAACATAAATACCAGTAAACATTTGTTTTATTGAGGTCAAGGTCAAGAACATATGTTTGTCCAAAGAAATAAAAAAAATGCATACTGTGAACCAGTGAACAATATCGAGTCTGTGGCTTGTGATATGCTGAACAGCGTAATGATACGTACCACCTCATCAGAAGTAAAATCTATGAAACCAGGGAGGATCAAGAAGTCACTGAAAAGGGAGACGAAACGGACACATGTGAACACATCTCACTTTGGAACTGGGAGAGTTAGACGTCTTTATGAATAATCAATATTACTCGAAACAATCACCATAAACAAGGATTATTCAGCTTTAGTTGTGTATGTGAACTGTACAGCGCAAATCATATTCCTGCAAAGCAGCATTTTATTAAACTTAGCTGACAGTGAGCAAACATAATCTGTCAGCCTTTCAGCCCATTGCATTTATCCTCTGCACTCTGATAAACCCTGCATATAGCTTCCATTAAGGAAACCACACCGACACTCATTAACACACTGATAAGTGCACAAACACTCACACACTGCTTTTAGTATCTGTGACCCCACTCAGAGTCATCCTTGAAAGTAGTATTACTCATTATAATCCTCCATATAAAGACCAAGCAGATGTGTTATCACTGATATTACTAAACATTTAATGGAAGACATTGCATAACTCTAACGTGTGTTTCTATATGTGTTCTACCTGTGTCAATGTGTTAATAGTGTGTCATATCATGAAATGAGCCAGCAAATGTATCTCTGTTGTTTTTTCTGTTTTGTTTAGCATATGTCTTACTTGTATGTAAGTCCATCGCCGATAGAAAAGAGTTGTTGTGCTGTTAATCCATCCTCTGGAACATAACCCGTGCCTCCACTGATCAGGTAGTCTGCCATGCTAAAATAGAAAAAGGCACACGTGCACACAAGATGTAACTGAATATATGAAGTACCAGTTCTGAATATTTGGAGGGAGTGTAAAGATACGACAATGAATAGACACCTGTTTTTATCATGTACATCACAGCGTCATAGAATGAATTGTTCATAAATCTAATGTGACAAAAAGAATGCATGTTTGTCTGGATGCGTTCATCCCTTGTGCAAGACATGCATGCTGTTTTGCCCGTCTCTTTCTTGACCTCTGTTTCTCACACACATGCTGGAGCCAGATCCTATTAGAAATAATGGAGCGGAGACAGGAAATGCTAACAAAAGCAATCCGTTCTTGTCTCTGGAAACACTTTCAATAAACCTGTGACGGCAGTGAAGTAGGTAAGAGGATTTGGTTGGCCGCAGTTAGCTGATAAACAGGCCTGTAAAAGCACACAACCAACTCTGCTAGAAAGCGAAAACATCTCAGTGGCTGCTGGAGATACACGTTATAAAGCTTCACCCCATCACAATCACTATCATCAGAGAAGGGCATGACCTTACAGCATTATGCAGTGCAAGAGTAGAGACTGACCTCTCTGGTTCATATCCAGCTTGGATACGTGTAGCACTGTAACGCTGGGCTGCAGTCTCATGCCCATGTCCATGTGACATCGGGTGGGCAAAGGACCCGTAGGACTGAGTTTGTTCCCCATCTCTGTTTGGGATGCGCGGCCGTGCTGGTTCCGTGTCCCCCACGATCCTCCGGTAGTCGATTTGGTAAGTGTCCCTCTCCCCATCTCCAGACCGGTCATAACCATGACCCTCCATCTCTAAGAAATCCAGGGCTACGACCTCCACAGGGCCCCACCACCTCACTAACACACACACACACACACACACACACACACACACACACACACACACACACACACACACACACACACACTCTTCAAGCACTTCTGATGTGTTTAATTCACACAGACGAAGTCACACTCTCACAAAATAAACAGTTGTCCCAGCCACTCCCACACACAGCAACAAATTGCTGTTCAGTTATAAGCCCTAATAAACAGCCAATGCTTTGAGTACATGTCCACACAAACACCTTTCAGACACACCTGACATTGGAGGAAGCTGTCTTGCCATCTGTTTTGTGGCCGGTGCAGCAGTTAAACCATAACAGCCAGTATTACAAGATTTCACAAATTAACCTTCTCAAAAATCTGAAAACTGCAGAAGCAACGGCAATAAAAAGCATTTAAAACTGGGTTGTTTGCCCTGAGAAGAGTTTGCATTCCAGTTTGTCAGCTCTCATCCCTGGAGTTTGAAGCCAGTTCGGCCCTCACACAGAGTTTTTAGCTAACCTGTTGATGAAGTCGACTATCTTGGCACACCAAATTTAGAAATCCATGACAACCCCCAGCTGGAGGCATGAGGAGCCGCTGGAGAGGAGAGTCAGGTCTTACTTAGGTGGCAGAGATTCGTCCCCCCGGAGGCCCAGAACGCAGTGCTGCTTGGTTATCTGTGGAGCTTCTCTCCACTCCGTTCTCCCAGTGCCTGCTGAGCTTAACTCTGTTTCTGACAGTAGCAGACGTCACTCTCCCACAAAGAGGATTGGGAGCGTTAATACAGCGGGGTGGGGTGAGACGGGTGTGTAGGGTGGAGTGAGGCAGTAGGACTGAGGAAGAGAAGGATAACGCTTGAACACACTTTCCCCTCGGAGGATTACCAGAGTCTAGAGGTGTGGGGTTTTTTTCTTTTTTTTTCTCGCATAGCTCAAGGAGACACGGCTGTGAATGAGACAAAAGGTCAAATCCCAGAATACTACTCCTCTGCCAGCTTTGCTCATTTGAGACAGAGAGGACGGACAGACAGACAGACAGAAACAGAGACATATACAAGTGTCTGTGTGTGCATGAAGACAGGCAGAACATGTTGCAATTGATTCTTCGGGACTGAAGATAAGAGTGGCTTTGGTTGTCTAGTTTACCACCGCAAGCCAGAAAACAAATGAAGGCAAGGAAACTTTACACAACTCTGTCTTGTGTTTATTTTTTATTTTTTGTCTTTTTCAGTGCACTGTTTGGCCCAGTATTCAGTGTGAGTGTAGTGAACAACAAACCTATCAACTGAGACAGGAGAGCGACTTTGTTGATGGGATGCCCTCGACTCCATCATCTGCAGGTGACTGACAGACTGCTTGTGACAGTTACTGAGGGATTGAACCAGAAAAGCCTCTTACCCAGTCTCTTTCTCTCTCTCTCTCTCTCTCTCTCTCTCTCTCTCTCTCTCTCTCTCTCTCCCTCTCCCCCTCCCACCCACTGGGAAACAAGCAACATCCCCTCTTCATAATATTAATGGCATGATAATTAAGCCACATCCCCGTCACAACACACCATGTTACTTTCTGAATGAAAAGAAGTAGAGCAGGTGAAGACACATTTTGAAAAAACATGTTTATTAAGATATTCTTATTTGACAGGGTCAGTGCACAGCTTCTTAGCTGTACCAGAGTTAGCTTTAAGCTAATTTACAGCAGTAGACTCTGGGCAGGAAACAGAAAATAACATCTCTGTTGAAAATGAACACAGGATAAAAAAGACAGTTACAAGATAGTTAATATCCACTAAAACAATAACAACAAGATTTGACTCATCGCGTTTATGCGTGATGAGTACACGATTGGGTTGCTTTTAGCCATGATTTCATCTTGAATTTAAAATTAGGAAAGCTGCAGCACTCTGTTATATAACTTGGTACTGAGCTACAAAAGTCTTTTTCTCAAATAGAGAAGGCTGATCTACCAACCTCAGTAGATATATGCTGTATCGCACAGTCGCCTCTGTTGGTCGTCCTTGCTTCTCTTATCTGTGATATGAACTCTTTCAACAGGGGAGAAACCAGATCATTGATCACCTAGTACAATAAACTAGCATCATCATTTATCCATGACTTGTTGTATAACAAGTAAAATGTAGAATCTCAAAATCTCAGAAAATGATATACATGCAAATGAATAAAGAAAGATTTTTTCACAAAAGATGAAAGTGTAGGAGGAGAGGCAGGGAAAGTCTTTGACACCTGCAGAAAATTCAGCAAGGCCACCGTTTCTTTTGAATTAGCCACCTGAGGGAAAAGAAAGTGAAATTAAAAAATGTGATTAAAATGTCATAACTCTCATGTTTGGTTATTCTAGCAGGAGGAAATCCTACCGAGTCTCAACACTAGGTCGCGTTGATGTTTGTTGAGGGCGTCGTAGAAGGCTGCTTTGACCTTTTCTCCTCCTGAACGTAATGCCGTTTGATAAAGCTCTCTCATTTGTTTCTGGGTTGTTGCTTTAGAATCAATCAATGAGTAGACTTCAGGGTGGACCATGTCTCCAAGCTCCTCTATTATTGTCATTACCATGGTAGCGTCTTGAATCAACGTTGCCCTGTTGTCGTCGACAAACTTTGCTGTTTTAAAATACAAAAAAAGGAAAGCGTGCACATGAAACACATTAATTCAATCATTAATGAGACTCCATGTGACTCCATGTGATTGAAGTGATACATGTCACTATCATGCTCATTTTAGATATTTTTCTATACACACAGGAAACAAAGAGACATCACTGCAGTGACAGAAATACTCACCTTTGTCTCTACTACTCATTCTTCGAGAAATTCTGGCACAATCCTGTTGGCAGAAATAAAAAGCTCTTTCAGTCTATATTGTGTATCTATTTGAATGTATCATACACTTGTTTCATAATCCCAATCCAAAACAGCAGGTTTGTTTTTGTTTTTTTCTTTATGAGTAACTGACGTGTGGTATAATATTAATAAACTGTCCATTCGCGTCAAAATAATATTTATTTAAATTAATTATTAAAAAAAATAAAGTTAAAACTCAGCAATAGTTCTATTATCTCTCTTAAGTCTCTTGATTGTATTTTAGGTCTGACTGTAGGCTAAATGTTTTTGTTTTCTCCTCTCAAGACTACCTGGTTAAATAAAGTTACTTATTACTCATGGACTTGTTTTCAACTTTCTGTGAGGCAATGGTCAAATAGCATTTAGCATACCTGTGATGAAGACCTTTCAGTTTTTGCGAATGGGCCATTGTCCACAGTATCATTTGGCATTGACTGTTCTGAAAAAGAGAAGAAAATATCATATTTCAATCAGGAAAGTGAGAAATAATTTATAAGATTAAAACTCCCTCGACTCACTATTGAACAATCCACCTGGTGTCTGGAGAGGAACACTGGAAGCCACACTTGTGTTTGATTGATTACTGGTTGGTGAGTTCTGAAGTAAAACAAGGAGAAAATACTATGTATTAGAGAAATCAATAAACCAAATCATGATTAATCTGCACTATATTTCATTTTGTGAAACGAAATTTAATGAATTGTACCAGTCGTGCCAAGACTTGACCGACCACATCACGAATTCCGTTCTCGTGCTTTGAAAACACATTCTCAGTGACTTCAAGGCAACCTGAAACAGAATTTTAATTTTAAATATGCATCTGTCAAGCTAGTCTACAAAAGGTTCATTTGAATTAAGCATATTGTTCAGACTATAAAATATTGTAATATGGTGATAATGATGAACATTTACCTTTAAAGGGAGGCCTCTTGGAGGGACTGCCATCCCAGCACCTCTTCATGAGGTCCACCAGTTCTTTCAACCCTTCCCTTTCCCTCATCAGGTCAATTTGCTTACAGCAAGGTCTGTCTCCTTCAGGGATCTTCAGTTTCACATGATCGTAATCAGCAAATGAACTAGGATAAGGCTCTTTACCAGTGATAATGGACCAGAGCAGGATACCATAGCTAATCAAGAGAGAGGAAGAGATTTTTAGAAACATGTTAATGCTGTTAAAGTTTTTACCATATAGAGTAGAATTAGGTGTTTATGTTATGTCTAACCTGTATATGTCAAAAGCGCGGACGGGTTCATATGATACTTCAAAAGCCTCAGGAGGCATGTACTTGTATGAACCTCCGATCATGACGCTTTTTTCTCTGTTGCTGTTCAAAGCACTGGTGGAAACTCTGGACAGACCAAAGTCTGCTAGCTGCAGAGAAAGAAGGGACACATAACATCAAACAAACAATGAAATCAGCCTCATAGTTGACTCAAACATAGGAGTTCAGGTCGAAGGCACTCTACCATGGCGTTGAGATCGTCATTCAGCAGTACATTACTTGGCTTTAGGTCGTGGTGCATAATTTTCTGTGAATGGAGGAAGTTCATGCCTAAAGCCACTTGATGGGCCAAGCGGCAGACCAGGGGCCATTGTGGAGGGCCAGAGAGGTGCTCCAACAGGGACTGAACAGATCCTCTGCCTATGAACTCCATCACTAGTCCCTGTTGCGGGGATGTTACTCCAGGCGGACGTCCATGATAGGTTCCATGAAGTCCCACCACAAACTTACAGGAACCCTTATCCATGTGATAAGCCTCTTTGGACAGTGACATGCTGCAATGAGGCAGGGGATTGTTGAAAGGAGTAGAGAGAAAGCAAAAGAGCTCCTTAACATGTGCATGACTTTATCATTTAAAAGTTAAAGTTACAGAAAAATTGCAGATATTTCTACATGTACCCAACGCCATCATGAAGTATCTTAATGGCCACATCAAAGCACCAGTCCTTGTGCCTGGCCTTGTAGACATGACCAAATCCCCCAGATCCAACTAGCTTCCATTTCTCCAAGGTTTCGTCACCAACTGGTTCAGTCTTGCGGCTCAGCGGCTCCATCTCCTGCTGGATTCAGGTAGAACAACTGCAACCTCAAATCTATCACAAAGAATGGAAATAATTATAGAAAAACCTGCTAAATATAAAAAAGTGGTTCAATGCCTAGATATTTGCGTTTATACACTATGTTATAATTACAGTAACATAGTTTTTAGAGCAACGACAGCTTTTGGTTGTAAAGACACCGACAAACATGTTCCACTAACATGTCCCTTAGGTTTTGTTCTGGGTACTTTATCAAAAAGCTGGTTTCTACTCACCATGTATCTCCTCAACTGTTGTCCACATAAAGATTCAAGAGTTAGTTCATACCAAAGCTGTGTCAAAACAGATATGAGTTTCAGTTTCCTGTCTCAGACTGAATCTGTATTTGAGGGGAGGAGTTTAAATTGAAAAGAGTTTGAGTTGACAAACCTGTTGAAAGTAGTGTAACATTTGTAACATGATGACAGAAAATTATGTATTTAATGAATAAAATTGGGGAAAAGCTGCATAATAATGCCCACAAAGTTTGATTGTAATTTCATTTCAGGGAATGGTTAGAATGTGCTTCTCATATCACAGCCAGAAAAGAGTAATTATATTAAATAGACTCAGATAACACACATCAGCATTCAATCTGGCATCATTAGAATACTGATTTTTCTGAAATATAAACTGGATTATAGTTCCTTTATTTTACTATTATTACAGCATCTATAAAAATCCTGTGACACACCTTTGGACTTCCTTATGATAAATAGCAAGCATGCACTGTGAGGAAGAGGAAGTTACAGAGGGCACAGTTCAGCCTTATGTGCTGTCTGAATGGGGTGGAGCTGTGGAAAGAAAGATTCTATATATTGCAAATCTGGCCACCTCTTATCTTTATGGTGTGATGTAGCAAGCTTTGCTGAGACTGACACAGCATCATTTATATTAGTCAATGAATGTGATCTTGTGAGTAAATGGGAATTATTCTTTGGCAGTTGTTTTATCTACAATCTGAATAGTATCTTCCATTTGCTTTTGTTGGACAATTCTTTAAGTGAGACATTTAAAACAAGGATAACAGGCATATAGATCAACTAGTTCTTAACCTGCCGGTTCTTTTAAGAAAAATGAACAAAAGGTATATTACGTGATTAACTATTATAAAAAAAATCTTTGTTAAAATGCTTTATTCAAGCATAATGCTTGGATTATGTACCCAGCTGATAAACCAATACATTTCTTTACAATATTTTAATCTGAGCTGGTGGTACTTGATTGCCCTGAGATAGGTACCGAGTGGTATGCTGTTCAGCGGTATAGGCACCTATCCCTAGAGTGGTATGCCACTGAACCAAAGTGGCATACCACTCTATGATTGTATTTGTTTTCTTCTAAACATACAGTACATTGTGAGTTTTGTGATGTAATACAAATGTCTCTTTGTTGTTTGTCTTGAGAACTGCAACAATTATGTATTGAAAGTTTATTGTTATTTTTTGTTAGGAATTAAATGCAAAAGTATTGGGTTGTATTACCCTTTGTAAATAAACGGTAACATTCTGGCATATATCTTAAAATCACCGTAAAACCCAGTTATCCTACTATCACGAACCGTAATCCAGTATACGGTAAGATACCGTAAAAGTAAATTACGTTTGGTTCACCGTAAAAAAACAGTCCCTGCTCCCAGTAAGTTACCGTTATTTTACAGTAAAGCTGCTTATAGTGCACGCTGTGACTGTTTTCAGTCTAAATTATTTATGCCAAACTCCGCTCCAAAAAAAATCCCAGTCTGTAGCCCAGGTGTCTGTGAACATGACAGCTACCATGAATCTAAATAATATGTGCACAAGCAAACATGCACACTCTGTTCATTAAGTGAGCTGAGGTGTATTTACTCGCAATCCCATGCTGCCTTGCTGTTTCGTCCGGGCATCGATAGGCGTGGTCTGCTCTCGCTCTCTGCATTTCCATTGCTCTCTCCCTTCCCTCTTCTCCCCCACCCTCATTTACACTCGGCACAGTGTGGACCTCTCTCACCAGTGGCTGCTCTCTCCACTCCATCTCTCTCCTCTTGGTGGCTTTCTTACCTCAGCCTACAGGGGATCTCTCTGTGCTGGATCTCTGGGTGGAGAGGTGAGCGTTTGTCTTTCCCACCACAGTGGAGGAGAGCTTTATAGACTGGGGAGCATCACTGATGCAGGTTACATCCTGTGGAGCAGCGACAGGACAGCCTCAGGAGAACGAGAATAGACCGAAAACCCATGTGCACGCCTGGATGTGCTTTGTGTTGTGAGGAGAGTAGACTGGAAAAGGGAAGCAGAAGGCAGCAACAGAGGGAGGGGAGCATTTAGCAAGAGGCGCCAGAGTCAGAGGGGTTTGGGGGAGGTGGGCGTAGGGTCTGCGGGGAGTGTTTTAAAAGTGAAAGGAGGAGTGTGTGTGGGAGGGGGGATCTGCTCTGCTCTCACATCAAAGAACTGGAAGGAGGATTGCTTTTACACTCAGTCTGAAGAGTCACAGAGAGACTGGGGAGTTACAGGCTCTCCAGGGACTGTGGCATTACAATTAGAGACCAGAGGCAGTCTGCAGCACTGACTGAGAGACAGAAGAAGGTGGTTGAGGACACAGATTGGGAGGACCAGTCAACCGACTTCATCTGGATGGAGGTGAGCTTGCTTCCTGCGTGAAGACTTAGAAGAAGAGGAACGAGGAAGAGGATAAGGAAGAGAGTCCCGCTGGCAAATTGGCGACATTCCCTTTTCCCAAGAATCCATAGGAGGATCCCATCATGGCTGTCCAACACATGCCTGAATCAGCCGTGTGTTTGCTCATGGTGAGTCTCGGAGGGGTATAGTATTGCAGACGCTGTTTACTGTCTGTCTTTGTTTCTTTCTTTCTCTGCTGTGGCTTTCTCTCATTACTCTCTCCTCATGGCAAACGCTCATCAAACGCTCATGCAGCCACTAACACCGGAGGTGAGCTGTCATATAATTGAAAGGGATGTTGAATGTTTGCTCCTGCCCTTTTGCTACCATCTACAAGCCCCAAATCCTCCAATAACTTCCTAGTGAGGCTCTGAAGCTGGCTTACGTATTAAAGTGCATCCAACTCAGAAAACTTCAGCTTTAGTCTAACTCCTCCACGTGTTCAACGAATGCAGTGGTGAAGTATGGGAGAAATACCACAAAGACCACTGCAGGCATTGGGATGTGGTGCTGGACATGGTGTCCATGTCGGAGACAGATGTCATTTACTGTAATATGACTTTTTATATGGGTGTGAAATTGGCATGTGTGTGAAGTGCATGTAAATAAGTTGCTGCAGGGGTGTGAGTGTGTGTGTGTGTGTGTGCGTGTGTGTGTGTGGGGGGGGGGCTTGCGATAATTTCCCATCTCCAAGACTGAATCAATTCAAACACACACTACGGAGAAGACTGCAGCCCATTGCAGAGGATTTTGAAGGATCTTGTTATTGTAGCATCCAGTCCCTCGCTGACATGAAACAGATTGGCTTGGCTTGGCCTGGTTCAGATCCAGCCCTAGAGAGCGATGCAATAGAAACACACAAAATGCGTCAATCCATAAAACTCCTCTCTGCCCCATGTCCGGCCGCACAGTGACACAATGGCAGTGTGGCTTTGCTGCATGTGTAGAATACAGATAAGGCACGGACCTCTCTGATGATAAGCTTTAATGAATTGAAAGTACACCCTGTATGCAGGGCGACTTTGTGTAAGAGCTCTTGTTCTGCTCATTCTCATTCTATAGCGTTGGCATTCTGCAGTCCCAGGGGGAGTCATGCATCGCCGCACTACCTGCTATCTCCACCTGTCACGGCTGTCTGTTACTATGGCGATAGGCCATGCACCCCACTCGAGGTAGAGGCAGCAGCAAAAAGGAGCAGAGTGCACGAGATGATGGACAGGGCAACGGAAGGATGGAGAAAAAGGGAAGTGTGAGTGATGAGGGCAGGAATATAAAGAGAAAGAGTGAGTGTGAAGAGTGAAAGTGGGCTTTTTTTCCCACAGAAAGTGGCACACTACGACGAATATCACATTTACAATTGTACCTTCAATAATAGACTCATCCTTAAGGTTTTTAGTTTTTAACCTTGTCTGGCATGGAGACAAAAATGGGTTAATCTGCTGGCAGACAGTTGGTGTCCCTTGACTCCATTTGGAGGGCGTTCCCTTACAAGTGCTCTTTCTGTCATAGCTGACAGGCCGTGTCCCCCCAGCTGGCACAGGAAAACTAGCTTACTGTCATAACTTTTCACCGTCACTTTCTCCATTTATTATTATAGCTACACGTCGAAAAATTTCTCACCATTCAGAGTCGCTGTTTGTCTGTTGTCAATGAGCAAAACACTTAAATATTGACATCACTCACTCTTTTGGTGTCTTCTTTGAAATATATTTATATAGAAGAACATGACATGAACATGACTTAAATCTGGTCCGTTTTGAATTTTTCTATAAGGCTGAACAAGATTGACATAACTAATTTCCGAGCCCAGAAATTTATTCCCAAAATCCATGGCATTTGTATTCACACTGACAAGTTCAGAACTTGAACCTAATTTAATTATTAAAGGGAGTTTATGCAGTGTGTGTGTGTGTGTGTGTGTGTGTGTGTGTGTGTGTGTGCGTGTGTGTGTGTGTGTGTAGGTGATTGAAGATTGACATTTCTTACTGCCTCTGTCTGTATTAATATTTCAGTTAAACAAGTGATTTTCTCCTGCAGTAATTAGAGGAACTATACTTTAATAAGCGTAATTCGCACAGACAGCACAACACATAACCCACATCGCCCACACAAAACATTCACACAAATCATTTTCATAAATAGAATCACTCACCAAGCTCAATCTAGATTTTTCAGGAAGTGACCTCATTCAGTTACCACAAACTGGCCAAATGACATTTTCTTGTTTTCTGCCATGGCTCATGCAAATAAAAATAAGTGCAGTAAATTGTGCTTTAGTTCTCCTCTGGGCTTTATTGGTCTGAAACTAATGTGATTGGCCCAGACTTACTCTAGCTCAGCTATAAAACCAAATGGTCACATGTCTACAGACTGGACCAAGAGCGGGAGACTATTGAATCATTGCTAGTATCCAAGTATTGCTATGAATGGGTTGGATCAATAAAATACTATAGGAGGAGAAATGTAGTCTTAGGGGAATTATGGTCTTTTTTTCAATTGCACTTCATCATCGCAGATTAATTAGATATGGTATGCTTTATATATACATATATATATAAATATATATAACCTACATAGGGGGGGATTTCATGCCAACTGTATCGAAATGGAAATACTTTGCATCTTTCTCTCTCTCTGTCTGCTCTGACGGGTTGTTTTAG